CATAAAGGATTAATATATTTCTAGTATGTAAATATTCCGATTACTTTTCAGATTCTTGAGACGAAGCTGTCACAGTGAAAGCATCATAATACTGCTTGTTATTTGTAATTTGCCAGTTGCATGAAATTTGTAAAAAATGTTTGCATAACACGGAAGTATCATCAACTTCTCGATCGTTTAAAAGTTCCATTATACGGAATTGACTAATTGATTCTCTTGATAAATTAATAAGTACTAACAAACAACGATGACAACATGCATTCGCTATTTTCGTAATATCATTTTAAACTAGATTCAAAATATTATTTAAAACTATATACTTTAATCTTCAAAAAGGTTATTTTATGTCTCACTTCAATTAGATAGATAAACTTTCTTAAAAATAGTACGACTAATTGTTAACGTATAAAAACTGTACACATGTGTTTAAAAATAATTATTTATTTCATATTTTAACCTTCAGTACTTAACACTATTAAACTACTTGTTTTTGATACGTATTACATTAAATACGGCGTACAATGAGAATTAACCATTTGTTACAATGGCGCGAAATATTTTATCATCTGCATAAACGAGAAAGAAGCAAATCCGAATACCAACGTTTGTAAATATATTTCGCTAGACCAGTCACGTTTTTCAATAAATAACATTTTTCGATCTATATAGAAAAAGTGTTTAATGGTAAAATAATGCGTTTATATAAAATTTTGAATGAAGTGCTCACACGATCAAAAGATGTGACAGGTGGTGGGGGCTTTCGGTTTAAGCAGTTGTGCAGAAATATTGAGCAGAGATCTTCGCTTACGAACCGTGTTTCATCTTTACGTGCTGTTAGTTCTTGCAATACAAAAATGTCGAAATACACAATTGTTATGGTACGCCATGGAGAAAGTGAATGGAATCAATTGAATCTGTTTTGCGGATGGTACGACGCCAATTTATCTGACAAAGGTAAGTCATTTTCAAAGAATAAATTTCGAGAACAAACTTCAAGGGCAAAAGGTCGAACGGTTGGAAATGTTATGGGATGGTTAGGTTTTCTCGTTCTAAAGATTTATGTATATAATGTGAATTAATACACAAATATGATGACAATGATATAATTATTTTACAAATATGTCATATAGTTAGAAATGTTAGACAAAATACACATGATTTATATAACGATATTTTAATAATTATTTAAATATATCATTTTCAGAAATATGTTTAATAATAATTCTCTAATAACATAAACTTAAAATTATAGGTAAAACAGAAGCAGTTGCAGCAGGAAAAGCAGTCAAAGATGCAGGCCTCAAGTTTGATATTGCACATACATCATTGTTGACAAGAGCTCAAGAAACTTTAAAATCAATCTTGAAAGAAACAGGTCAAGAGAACATTCCTGTTTGTAAAACATGGCGCTTGAATGAACGTCATTATGGAGGTTTAACTGGTATGAATAAAGCTGAAACTGCTGCTAAATATGGTGAAGAGCAAGTTCAAATTTGGAGAAGATCTTTTGATGTACCCCCTCCACCTATGGAAGCAGATCATAAGTATTATGAAGCCATAGTAAAGGATCCAAGATATGCTGATGGACCAAAACCAGAAGAGTTTCCCAAATTTGAGTCCCTAAAATTGACAATTGAAAGGACATTACCATATTGGAATGATACCATTATCCCACAATTGAAAGAGGGAAAGAAAATTATAATTGCTGCTCATGGAAACAGCTTGCGTGGCATAGTAAAACACTTAGATCGTAAGTTTTTATTCTCACAAACAATAAGTTTTATACAAATATTATACTAACAACTTACTTTTTCAGAAATGAGTAATGACCAAATTATGGGTTTAAATTTACCAACTGGTATTCCATTTGTTTATGAACTAGATGAAAACTTTAAACCTGTTGTATCTATGAAATTCTTAGGTGATGAAGAAACTGTAAAAGCTGCAATGGCAGCTGTTGCTGCACAAGGAAAAGCTAAATAAAGTTAAAGAAGTCCATTGTATAATTTGTATCATTGCATACATACAAAAAATACTAATTTCTAGTTTTGTCATTGTTAAAAAATTATTTCATCATTAAAAGGTATACTTAGGTATATACACAAGGGATATCTATATAAAATAAAATAGAAAAATATTAAATAAATATTTATTGAAATCTAATTAAAAAATGTAAAAGAAGTATAAAAATTTTAAAACATTAAATGTAATTATTTTTCCTTGATATTTTAATTTTTGTTAACTTGAATTTCAAATTTTCAATAACTGTTTCATTTCCCTTAAAAGTAAGGGTTCAGTTTAAAAAACAATTACTTAAGAATATAGACGTACAAAATAAAAGCGCCATCTGGAACAAGTAATAAATGAATATGTAGCAATAAAGATATAAGTTACACGAAGAAAAGAATAGGGGTAAACAAGGCAAAGATGAGGGGTAAACCTCATCAAACGAGGTAGATAAGGATAGCACTCATCAAACGAGGTAGATAAGGATAGCACTCATCAAACGAGGTAGATAAGGATAGCAATAATGCTGCGTGTTAAATAAGGAAAGCAATAAGTTTAGACAAGAACAACAAATTTTCAGAAGTCAAACAACGCCATCTCTAACAATTTCTTGTGTAGGAGTCATTTAAAAATTAACATCCGTGTTATTAAATCTTTTATCGACAGCTAATTGAAAATCATTTGTCTAAACCATTTACGTACACCATAACATCCCCTTAAGTAGTGACAGTGTAAAATTAAAGGGTAGTGGGGATGGCCAGGGGAAGCGTCAAGTTTGCTATGCCAAACAATACTACATTTGTATTACGCATTTACGAGTTTGCGTGTTGAGCGTACATTTGAACTGATAAGATTGCTGAATCATTACTAGTAGTGTCATTTCAGTAGAAATTTGTTTTCTAGAAGTATTAGTCACCGATCAGCGACCAATACAAAGTACACCAATGATTATTCTAACCTAAATGTTACAGAAGAGGATAATGTTTATTTCATAGTACTCCTGTATTTTAGAAATTTCAACGTTGTTCAGAGATGAATCGTGTCGATTTAAAAGTGGTTTTATTGGGTCATGCATCAGTAGGAAAAACAAGCCTCGTGGAACGTTTCGTAAATGAAAGGTTTAACGAGAGTCTATCTTATCAAAATGTAAGTGCAATTACACAAAAAAATGATTACGCATCGGTTTACTTTTAATTAGTATTTGTATTATCAAATCACTTTGGAAGTTTTTATCAGTTCGATTTAATATGAAGTTTATAACAAATTATTTAAGTGTAAACTTTAAGGTTATTAAATTTCAACGGATCATTGTTTTTAAATTTTCTACGAATTGTAAAATTCGAAACGATTGATCTAGGGATTGTACTAATTTAGGCCGTCTTGTTTCTCTTAGTCCGCGGCGTGGAAGAAATATTCTAAAATAAAATTATTAAAATTTGCACTGAGAATCGTCTAAGAGGTTCACCACAAAACAAATTAACCCAGTTCAACTTTCCTTAGACTATAGGCGCTGCGTTTGCAGCTAAGCAAATAGAGATCGATGGAAAAAAGCTTATCATGGGAATATGGGATACAGCTGGCAGTGAAAAGTAGGTGACCTTTATAATATATATTTTTTCAAGTTTTTAGTAATATTTATTCAGTGTATGAAATATAATTTTAAAGAAATGTAAATGATTAACAATAAAACATTAAAAAGTAGTCATTCTAATTTGCAATTTATTAACATATATTTGTAGATATGATGCTATGACTAGAATATATTATCGTGGTGCAAAAGCTGCTGTTGTATGTTATGATCTTACAAAATCAGTTACATTTCAAAGAGCAAAATTTTGGATAAGGGAGCTCAGAAGTATTGAAGAAGGTTGTAAAGTATACATTTGTGCTACAAAAAATGATATCTTAGAGCACAATGAAGTTCCAAGTCTTGATGTAGATGTTGTAAAAACATATGCCACAGGCATTCAAGCTAAGTTTTTTATAACATCTAGTAAAACTGGAGAAAATGTTGGTAAGTATATATATTATACTTGTATTAACATTATAACATTTAATATTTATAATAAAATTTATATTTAAAATAATTAAAATTCTCATCTTTCATATTTTATATTGCTTTGTACAAATAAATATAACAAATGTAAGTTGATGTAATGCTAAATTATAGCATACTGTAACTTGACACATTATTACATGTAAATGTAAGGAAAATGTTACCCTTAAAGATTATTTTTAAATACATTTCATATTTTACATTCCTTTGATGTTGTTTTTATTGGTTTCTTGAAATGTATTCTTTAAAGGGATGGTAAGTAAAGTTTATAAAGAAGCTGCTGTGCATATCTACGACCATTTAAATGTAATATAGAAGAGCAAACATGTACTTCCTAAATTGTAATTTTTAGTTATTTCGGTTTAAACGTAATATTTAGCATAAGTAAATCCATTATCACATAAATCCCCATTCTCTTTGTATTCTGTAATAAAGAACCAGACAGTTGAAGTATTATTTTTTAAAAATTTCAAATTTTTGGTTACTTGTTATTAATAAAAAAAGAAAAAAAAATGAAGTGCAGTGTTTTCAATAAAACCACCACTTAGGTTAAATAAATTTACCTTTGCCTCACTTTCTGTTTTTATTTTTAATTCCTAATGTAATTGGACTCTAATTCTATAATTAGATTCGAATTCTATGTATTCAACTACACATGAATTTATATGTCCTGTATATCATTTTGGTGGTAAAATTGAAATACAAATTTGTCTAACTTTCTCGTAAACACCGAAAAAAATGAATCCGCTAATGGTAAACCCACTAACTCTTGGTAGAAAGCCTGCAAAAAGCCTGAAGATATCTATCGTTATTATTTGTAGAACCTAAAAAAAGGATAATTTGAAAAATACGTTCATTATGTACCCTCTGAAGCCGGATTCCTGGTAAACGTTCTTTAACATTATGAATACTTTTATTTCATCTTTCTCCACTGTTGTATTTGATAACATTATTCTAGTTTTAGCAACATCTAAAGGTGTCGTTATGATTGCAGATATACCCACTATAAAACGTCAATACTTGTATAAATATTTAAATACAATATTTCTTCATGCTTGTAGCTTAAATAATTTTTTTTCTTAATTTTCTACCTGATACCGATCCGCAAATGGCACCCTCTACCGGAGTGCATTCACAATTTTTATTTCTTTTCCAACAAAGTTTAAAATACTCCCAAAGTGGCATTTGAATGACACCAAATGGTAAATCTCTTATCACAGTACTTCCATAGCCACGGTACAAAGTTCTCAGTGGCAATCTATGAATATCTGGTAGAAGTGCTTGTCTTCTTTGTTTCAATACTTCTACTGGGACTCGAATTAAACATGCCACCTATCAGTAATATCTCAAAATTCTTAAGTTATACAAAGTTGTTAAATGTAAATTAAAAGTAAAAAATAAGTGCTTATTTATATAGTAATACAACAGAAAAAATAATATTGCAAACATTCAACAAAAATGTGTATTTATTATTACTTTTATCTTTTACACACAATATTAACAAGATATAAATTACCATTTCTCCCACAGATGCTGCTGTCATATGTATAAATGTATGATACTGCTCAGGTATAGAAGGTAGAAATACTAGTTTTATTCCTTCATAAGTTATAAAAAATAAAGAAGCTGCAAACAATACATTTATTAATGCAACATTATTTTCTGTAATAATTCTGAAGGATTTTAGTATTTCTTTGAAATTTACCTGATGGGGCAGATCCTATCAGCATAGGACTTAAACCCTTGTACAATTGATTAAAACCTCCAGATCTCATGAAACCATGTTGGCTTTGTAATCGTGTCTTAAGTGTATCCAGAGGAAATGATACAAATTCACAAATGGTTCCCGCAAAAGCACCTGACTGTTGTAATTTTAACATTTCTTCAAGAATATATTTGCATTTTACATCATTTAGAAAAATATTTATAAATAATTATAAATTAAGTTTATGATTATTTGCTATTGTAGAGTATAGTATATTTTATATAAATGCTACTTCTGATAGAAACAACTACTTGATTAGAAATTTACATGAAGATATACTTGATTTACAAAAACTCTATCTATTTAAATTACTTGAATTTATGGAATTGCCCCTATTTAAGAAATCAAATCCACTTTAATGTACATTAGTTTAAAATAAAGAATCAAATGATTATGGAATAATTTCTATAATTTTATACACATCTAGAAATTTACAAATTTCTACATGTAATTAATTATATTAGAAATTGAAGCATACATGACAATCAATCATGTACTAATTATACAGAAATTTATTTACTTACGATAAGTGACGTAAGGAAAACATTTTTCGCGCTGGTACTATCTGTTGAATTATTTTCTTGTATCATCTTTGATTATTACAATACTTTTTTACTATATTAACATTTTCGAATAGAGGTACGACAATTTAAAATACACTTAAAATGCATAATTTAATTGGTAAATTGGAAATCATCGTTTAAATGATAGATTAACCATCATGGAATGTTTGATAAGTGAACGAGAACGGTATCAAAAGTATTTATTTCAAAAATTTAGCATTTTTGTATGTGTGAACGAAGCAACAGCATGAAACGTAAAGACCATGTGCACATTATTACATAATGACATCACTTCATCGTTTACTTCTGTTACAAGTTACAACCCTTAATTCTACTGTGTAGTCTGCTAGCGAAACCTAACCTAATCTCACATATCTCGAAACTCTACTGGTATTTAAGTTAGGAAAAACTTTTGTTTTAAAAACAGTTTTTCACTAGCAAGAATAGATGAAGATGCTTGACAGAAAATTACTAGATATAATATATATATAGAAAATTGAGAATTACGTCATGAAATCCGTTTCATGCAGTATGAAGAAATTCTTGGCTTTTGTATTTGCTACGTTCCGATTAGTCGGGAGCGCGAAGGAAATTTCCGAAAAATGATCACCTCGATGTTTTAGGTACTGTTGAAGTGATCACATAACCTTGAATTTTATTGACTTCTCTTTGGGCGGGAATCTCGAAAGATTTATATTTTCACTTGATCCTCCATAAAAATGTCTCAAACTATTTTGAAAAGCAGCTTGGAAAATGCTTCCTTCAATATTATATTTCAGGTATTGCACCAACATAATTGTTAAAACTAGCGTATTACGTCGCAAGAAATATCATTATCTATTTGTTAGAAAACTTACATCATATTTATAAATACAAATTGTACTACTATCATTGATAACTACACTATTTTGTATTGATAACATTGACAATTCTTATTAAAAACTGAAAATTTCTAAATTGTCTCTAAGGAATAAAAATGTATATAGAAAACAATCATAATGGTCTTCTTTGTAGATATTATGCAGAGGAGTTACCTTTGTTTTAAATGCTTTTGTTGTTCGACATGTGGGTCAAGCAGTTTTAGGAGTTATAAATGTGAGGCTACTATTGTTGGAATCAATGATTTTATTTCTATCTCGAGAACCATTTATGAAAGCTTGTTTAACCAACACAGCAGAACACAATTGGGCTCAAGTTGTAAATTTACTATGGATGACGTTAGTTTTTTAAATTAAATCCATCATAATATAAATCAAATTAGTATAAATACATAAATTGTAAATATTTTTCCAGGGTTCCTATATGTTTTATAATGTCTATAATGTTTGGATATATTTGGCTTTTTGTTTTATCAACAACTGAGGCATTACCCTCATATTATACATTTGCAGTTTGGGCAGTTGCTTTATCTTGTATCATTGAACTATCATCTTTAATTGTTCAACTGGTTGCTAGTGCATTTTTATTTGTTAGGTTGAAAGTAAGATCTTAACTTAAAACTAAGATCATATTTAAAATACTTTCTAATTATTCATTTTTTTAGATTATACTTGACACTATCATGATTGCTATTCGTACTATAACATTTGTCCCATTAATACTTCAGAATTCAGAGAATGCATTGCTTGCATTTGGTGTAGCTCAATTAGTTGCAGCAGTATTTTATACTACTAGTCATTATTTGTACTTTCATTATTATATTAAAAAAATTAATAAGTCTAAGTTAAAGAGGAAAATGTCATTGAAAGATAGCAGTGATGAGTATGTTGTCAGAGAATTTCCATTTAAAACAATAATGGACTTCTTGCCTGGACAATTGGAGAACAAAGTATGTAATAAAATATATTTTGCATATATAATGTATGTAAACTGTTGCATTTTAGGAATCATATCTAGATAAAAAATTGTCTATTCTTACGTGGAGTTTCTTCAGACAAGGAATTCTAAAGCAAGTTTTGACAGAAGGAGAAAGACTAATTATGACAGTAATGCCAGTATTAACATTTACCGAACAGGTATTTGTTAATGATAAATATTTAATGTAATTAAATTTTTATTAAATTAATTCGATTTTTTTATGTCCAAAGGGAACATATGAGATTGTAAATAATTTAGGTTCTTTAGCAGCAAGGTTTATTTTCCGTCCAATAGAAGATAGTGGATATTTCTACTTTACCCAAATGGTTAAACGAGATAAACCAATTAATGATCAAAATCCTGTAGGTAGTAGATGAAAGATTTAATATATATTTATATAAGACAGTTTGATAAATGATGTATGTTTTAGGGGAAAATTCAAGAAAGTGTAAATGTTCTTACTCATTTATGTTCAGCTGTTATGTCTATTGGTTTAGTTGTATTAGTATTTGGACAATCATATTCAAGCACTTTATTATGGTTGTATGGTGGTACAAAATTAACTTCACATCTACCGGTGGTTTTAATGAGGGCACATTGTTTAGCTATTCTACTTTTGGGAATAAATGGAGTAACAGAATGTTACACTAATGCAACAGCTGATAGCGCGACTATAAACAAGAGCAATTTAATTATGATCTACGAATCAATCGCATTTTTATGCGCATCGTATTTGTTTGCCATTTGGTTTGGACCAGTCGGTTTTATTCTTGGAAACTGTGTAAACATGAGCTTAAGAATCTTCCATTCTACTGTCTTTATCAATAAAAGATACAATGATACAGTGCACCATCCTTTACGCGGATTAGTGCCAAAGCCTATGTTTTCTGCATCTCTTCTTATAGCAGCATTGATCACCACTGTGTCTCATGTAAAGAAATAATTTCTTATTTTCTCATTTCTTAATGGAAAGTATTGTATTACAGGTTAATATTGCTATGTTTCAGACTTACTTTTTCCCAGACGAAAAACTATTGCACTTAACTATTGGAATGATAATGTTTATGATAGTACTCATATCTTGGATCTATGAACATCATGATCTAATTAGACTTGTTACAAATAAATGGTATGAGAGAAGAAACAGGCACAAAAAATGTGACTGACCTTAAATATGTTTCTAATGGTTGTTTATTGATATTTACATATAAATTATCTACAAGAGTGCTGCAATGCAGAGCTTCTGTAAATCTTATTAAATTTAATAATTATGTATTTTCTATATTGGTATAATTCAAATCAAATACAAGTTCTACCTTAATGAAACCACTTTAAAATTACTTACTCAGAGTTTATGTATATAATTAATAAATCAAACATAATGAGGCTTATCTTAAAATATAAGCAGTATTATTAGTTTGGGTAACAAAAACTATTTTACACAGAAACATCCTTGTAAATTGCACCTACTACTGACCCTTGACGTTGTATAAGGCACTTCCTATAAAATAATTTATTATGTTTTCTGTATTTATATTTTAATGTAATATTGCACTTAAAAAAAAAGTTTAATTCCAAAGGTATTTAATAAATTTGTTAATTAACAATTTTATACATTAATTTAATTTTAACACAAATGATCTTTAATACAATTGTTGAGCACAGAATACTAAAATAAATCTTTTCACATTACCTGTTCTCATTTTGAAGGGAGATAATTGGTGCTGGTGATTTAGGTTCTAATTTTGCAACTTGATCTGCAATAGCTGCAATTATTCCTGCACTGTCAGTAGATGCATCCCCCTTAGCTGAAAGTATTTATATTACCTTTACTCTCTTAGTTAATGTACTATTAGTTGTAAATGTAAAAATGCAATACCTCCTAAACATAGTCCTGCATGATCAGCCAAGATGCAACCAATAATGCCTTCAGTATTATTTCTATTAAAAGATATTAAATTTTAATAATAATTTTAATCGTCGAATACTCTTTAGAAATTTTACGTAATTTATTTTAAGCTTTGTATTAATAAGAGCAAAAATTTTTTTATTATTAACTGTTCGAGGTTAAATCTAGTCGCACAATTATCCCATTATGTACTTGAAGAAAACTAGTACTAGGATTAAATAGTGATAAAAATATTACGTTTTACAATAATTTGCATTAAAAGCAATAATATAAACACTTTATGTCACAAACGTAATATAAGATTCTTCGGATTAAACTTACACGTCATCTAGTGTTTTTTCTAAATTCTTTTCCATTTTAAAGCTTCAATTTATTTGCAAAAGTTATTTGATATAAATGGGATACTTATTAAAAGCAATTGAATTTAATGAATGTGTCATAAATATTCACACGGTTTTGTGTACGTTCACAAGTTAGCGTTCTTGTCGCAACAGGTTTAATCGAATCGTTCGATACATCGCATTGACTGCAAATTTTTGATCGATTATCGCATCTAGAGAGTGTCACAGAAAAAACTATTTTATAAACTGTGTATTTATTAAATATATCGAAAGATTAAAACTTTACTGCTTAAATTTAATTAAATAGTAAAATATGAAGTTTTAACAAATATTATATTTTATATTGTAATTATACAATAGCGTTGTTCATAAAATTTAATAGTTGAAGCATATCACATTGGTAGAATATAAAAGTATATTCTTATATAATTTTTAATTTTACGAAATTAAAGTATTAATTTAACCCAACACAATTCTAATTTCCTATCATCTTATTTTAATTATGTGACATTAAAGCAAGTAGTTAATTTCCATACAGATAACAGTTTGTAATGTACAGTTTTGTCACCCTATATAAATAACATCACATAGGAAGTGAACTGGACGACGTGACTGGTACAGTGACAATCATGGCTGGTAAGTGTGAAGATCTGTTTTGTTTGCTCTTAAATATTTTAAGAAAGAATTGAAAAATTAGTATAAACAAGGAATGTCTATAATGATTTACTTATTTAACTTAATCTCCTTGTGCAGAAAAATCAAAATGTTGCTTAATTTATCGTAACTTCAAATTTGCATAATATTATACATTTAGTGTCCCAATTTAAGAAGTCACCGGAAAAAGGAACGTTTTAAACTGTATGTTCGTACGTTATTTTTACATGACAGTGTACGACAATGTGAAACTGATCGTCATTTGGACATATAAATTCGAGAGATTTCGTTTTAAGTCAGAAAGACACAACGTCACGCTGTTCGTAATACAATTGTGACACCTGTTACAAATGACATCTACATTATACCAATATTTTTGCGTATTCATTTATTTCGAAATGACACCGCGAAATTTTCATTTGACGATAATTTAAGTAAAATAATATGAAAGGCAGTTTTTTCAGGACAATATCCTCTTTAATAAGTTAATTCATTTTAATTTCTATAGTTAATTTATTTAATTAACTAAATTTCAATTACA